CGTACCTACTATATCCAACCTCTCGTACCTCCTCACTAAGGCATCTGCACATATCCTCTTCACACACCTAAATCATCTCAGTCTCGCGACCCTCATCTTGTCCATCACGTAGGCCACTCCCACCTTGCTTTGATATCCTCATTCCTTATTTTATCGCTCCTAGTACTTCACACATTCATCTCAACATCCGCATTTCCCCAACTTGCATCATTTGAACATGAGAGTTCTTGACTTGACTGACCAGCACTCAACCCCATATAACAAAATCGGTCTAACTACCGTTATGTAGAACTTACCTCTGAGTTTAGGTAGTACCTTTTTATCACACAAGACTCTAGAGGCAAGCCTCCTCTTCATCCACGCTGCACCAATAAAGTCCATATATTTTGCTGAACACAAATGGGGAAAACCCCATGAAACAAGAAGTGTACTGACAATGGATGCGCTCAAAAGATGCATCCTAAACAGCTACCCAGAAAAGAAAAGAAGTTTCTCTAAACAACTAGGTAAGTTTTGTGTGTAGCTAACAACCCGAAAAGAGGAGATAAAGTTGATGAATAAACTGAAACGGTCGTCTTACCAGCTCATTGCATTCTTATTTTTGTTGCCTTTGTGCCAAATGGATCTACCAAATACTAAAAAAAAAAAAAAAAAAAAAAACCTTTACACATTCATCTCAACATCCGCATTTCCCCAACTTGCATCATTTGAACATGAGAGTTCTTGACTTGACTGACCAGCACTCAACCCCATATAACAAAATCGGTCTAACTACCGTTATGTAGAACTTACCTCTGAGTTTAGGTAGTACCTTTTTATCACACAAGACTCTAGAGGCAAGCCTCCTCTTCATCCACGCTGCACCAATAAAGTCCATATATTTTGCTGAACACAAATGGGGAAAACCCCATGAAACAAGAAGTGTACTGACAATGGATGCGCTCAAAAGATGCATCCTAAACAGCTACCCAGAAAAGAAAAGAAGTTTCTCTAAACAACTAGGTAAGTTTTGTGTGTAGCTAACAACCCGAAAAGAGGAGATAAAGTTGATGAATAAACTGAAACGGTCGTCTTACCAGCTCATTGCATTCTTATTTTTGTTGCCTTTGTGCCAAATGGATCTACCAAATACTAAAAAAAAAAAAAAAAAAAATCCTTTCAAAAGAACCAGAGAAATACTCTGAACTACACCAAATGGATTCTCCTTATATCAAAAAGCTCTACAGTTCACCTTGTCCGTGGCTTCAAAGAGTATGAAGTACTAGTCTCATATGCCATAGCTGCCTTTCAACCTTGGAGCGTAGTTATAAATGGTCATATCCTGTCCTCAGTACTTTGCAGAAAGCACCAAAATGTTAACATCCTGATGTTATCTGGCATGCTAATATCCCCCTGAACCCTCCACCTGTCCACCCCACCCCACCCAAACCCATAAGTATAAACTAACAAACAAGAAACTATACTTCTCGTCACACTTTGGGACTCCAGATAGCTAGCAGTAACTCTTAAGAGTACTTTTGTTAAATAAATCCAGTCGTAGAATTCAAACTGAACCACCTCCAGATTTGTCATTCAGCTTCCAGCAACAGTTACCCTGCCTTCCCCATGTTTTCACGTAATGCAACGAGTTCCTAACCTGAATAAGGTTTCCATGATGTTTTATATATATTCAAATAAACTTGACCAATTCTGTCAACCACCTCTGGAAGCGTAATTCTGGTTGGTAAGTACATCATATTTATACTTTTACTAATAATAATTGGCTTTCAAGGGAAATTTATTCCACCAATAGATCGGAAATCTCTCCCAAGAAAAAAACAATTCTATCCCCAGCTCCATCAGAGATGAAAGGAGTAACAGCTAAACAAAGTTCCTCACCGAAGTGCAGTTAACAACAACTTCCAAATACCAGCATATAACATGAAACTCCCATTAATGAATGTGTAGCCACATTCAATACAGCTTCCAAATCGGGACAGAAAGACAGCTTTTGCAGCAAGCACCTGAGTACTTTTTGACCATCTCAAATTTACTAATCATATGGAACTTGTGTAAACAATAGAGAAACATGATAGCTTTTTTGGAAAAAATCAAGTCGCACAACTCACGGTGCTTCTTCTATATAGGAGGAAAGAAGAAATTAGAGAAAAGTGAAGGATAATATAGGGAGTAACCACGAGACTTTTCCATAAATGCCTTTTCGTAATAATCAAGAGACAATTCCAGAAATGCCTTTTCGTAATCGAATGAGCCTAGTGTGGACATGAACATCTGAACAACAAGTGCTTTGCAGATGGCCACCTTTAAAAGTTCATCTTAAGCACTACTATTGTCTTTATTTACACCAAAGTACCTTCTGAATCCTACCCAACTAGCTACAGAAATTGTCAAAAACAAAGAAGCAGAGATATCAAAATGTACACTATGTTGTATATGGTTTAGCTTTGTCCAATGTTTCATTTTGGGGGAAATCCTAGACATAGCTAGACCCCAAAACTTCTACCCAATTCTTCCATGTTGTGATATATTCTGTTAACATTTGTACATCCAGTTGGCTAAGGAAGAAAATGAACCATATAGGCAATACCAATTAGTTGGAATTAAGGTCTAACCATTGTTGGTATAGATAACCTAGGATAAGGATATGAGATTTAGATAACCGCTAATTTTCCTTAAAAGACATTTATTAGTAGCATTTGAATGGAAAGGGCTCAAACCTCAAGTAGCCCGTCTGAGCCAATAAATGGTATATACTCGGAACCAAGCTATTTGGATAAGTTTAACAATCTCTAGAGAGCAGAATAATGAGACTCCATATCATGACCCCAACTAGTTAGTGATTAAGGCTTAGTTGAATAGTTGATCGTATAGATTGATTTGTACATTTAGTTAATGATTATCCATGCAACTTGTACGTCTCACTTGTCAATTTTCGAATTGCAACCCCAAAAGTTCCATTTCCCTTTTCATGAAGTGCATTGTAAAAGTGTTTTTTTTTAAATAAATTGGAATGGTATGTAAGGAAGTGTGTTCTAACAGTTAAAACAGCAAAGAGAGCATAAAGCTCACACATGAAGTTAAGAACTTCAGATGAAGGATATGATCAGCGGATATGTATTTGATGATACCTCGATGGAGTGAACTGTGAACCAAGCAACAGTCATGATAGTTAAATAATCTGGACCAAGTTCAGAAAGTAAACATGATGCTAAAGCCAAAAAGGAGTATATGCTTAGCTCCTTTAGCTGGTAAGAGCAGCAAGAAATGAATATGAATGAACTTATAAAGCGCAAAAAAACTTCGGGCCGAACTCATGATTGGCCCAAACTGAAACATTGAGGTTTTCCCTTTTTTCTTTTTTTCCCACAGAACAACATTGAAGAATTTATCTAGCACAAAAACGTCATTGTGAAAATCAAGAACACCAATGAACACTTTGGCTTCAAGACCAAGGCACTTAATGAGAAACATACCATCACGCTCTAAGCCGAAAGGTATCCATCAACCTGTAGTCATTAATGGGAAAGGAAGCAACGAGCACCACAGAGAGAAAGAAGAAGAATAGTTAAAGACAGCACGTCCCAAATGGATTAAGATAGTTTTCACATGAAAATCAGAATCCTGAATTTTACATGCTAATGGATCCTTTTTTGGTGATGGTCTATTAGACAGAAGCCTGAAATTGCAATGCATAAGCAGCATAGGATAAAAGCAGGTCAAAGCCAGGTATATGCGGAAACAGGGAAAAGTATGCAGTGGATGAAAAATGAAGGGGGGAAAGAGAACAATATTGTGACAAGGGGTGGAAGGAACAGAAACTGTGAAGGCAATAGGAAAAAGAAAAACGCAAATATTCTTCTATTTTTTTTTAAAAAAAAATACTCTTTCAAGTCTGGATATACTTCCTAGAATAATTAGTGTATCAGAAGGGGTTCCCTCTAGCACCAAAGAAATGAGCAATAATTTAAGTACTGCAATGATCTGATTAATGAACAAACCTCATTAGTACTTATGACCGGTAGTAGGGGTCAATCTTTTTGCTGTTACAGAATCCTTGCTACGGAATAGATGGGTGCCCAATAGCAAACACTTGGCACTTTCACTGGCAAACTAACCACATCATTGCAGGATAAGGGGCAAAAGTCTAAATGGTTCAAGCCTCATTCCTACATCATCTTGGCTATTAATTACTAAAACATTACTGATGTATCAACAAATGAGAATCACCCATCATCCTCCTGAGCTAGAGCTAACATCTATAAGGTATTTTCTGAGACTACTACAACAACCTTTCTTGTTCAGGGTGCAAAATGATTAGATGGCAATTGGAGTTGCATGTATCACAAACTTTGATAATGGATGTGTGGTCTGAAGTGACAATCTAGTCATCTTAGTCATTATGCTTTTTTATGAAATGGAAAAAGAAAAAGCATAATGACTAAGATCATTATGCTCTAAGCCCCGTTCTAAATTCATAAGCTAGATGTCTTGTGAATATGTTTTTTTGGTACAATTTCTCAGTTTCAGATGTGAAGGCTTAGGCTTCGATTTTTCTTCTAGAATTTTTTTTGCTGCCTCGCTGGGACACTCAGTTTCTTCATGTTCCCAAACCTGAGGCATCGTAATGCAGCTCTTGTTGAGACTGCATTGTTTGGAAAGACGCACTCCTGTTGTTTCTTGCTGCTGCAGACATTACAATGTTCTAAATGAAGTAGCTTTTGGATTTAGTTATTCAAGTTTTACATATGAACTAATTCAATCTTCTGTACATTTTGCATCTTCATGGTGCTTTTTATCTACAAAAACTATTTAACTTATCAAATAATCAAGAACTCTACCCAGATCTATGCATAAGTAGACAATTTTGTATGAGATAAGCATGCAACAACGATATGAAGTTTCATGAATTAAGTGAAATTATCCACAGACAAAAAAAAATTGATGACCAAAAATATCCAATTTTTCACCACTAAAACTTGCAAAGCATGCACACCAATAAATTGAATATGAGTTTCTCGACAAGCTTATTGAAGATAATACCTTCAGATTCTTCATTCTCTGAATATTAAATTGAAAAAACAAACGATAGCACATAGAAAATATCAAATAGTGGAAATCAATAACCAATCCTGTTAGAACAGCTACTATTTGCTTTTAATTACACAAATATGAATACTTACAGTACAAGACAATTGACTTTGTGCTAAAGGCACCCTTAGAAGTTTCGAAGTAGTGAAAAATAAGATATCATTTTACTCTTATTTCAGAACCATCAGAGCTTATTAGATGACAGTTGGTTGCCACATTTCAGATTAACTTCAGGAATTTCAGTGGGTAACCTCCACCAGGCCACAGAGTCTGTAACCCCAGTTCTTCTCCGATGCATGATCACAAATGCCATCAGCAGCATGAAGACAGCAGCTAGCATAGGATATAGGACGTTACCATTTCCCCTCTTCCAACTCTTCAAGACAGCATGTGCACAAATCTTACCATCAAAACTACCCACAGAATTATTTATCTTCATGATCTCAACCCCATTCAGAATGGCATCTACAGCATGTGGAAGACTCATATTTGATGGCCCAACACTCAAAGTCAAAACACCGGAACTATCTCCATCAACGACAAAATCAGCATAGAAAGGGGAAGCCAGCAACCTATTTGTTACTTCAGTAAGGTCCAAGTTTTCGTAGGCCAAATTGTTGTTCACATAAACATTGAAAAATAGCATACCACGCGCAATACTAGCTATATCACAGAAGTGCATCCTAACCAAGTACTTATACCCTTTGGTCACCGGAAATGTCCATGTCATTTTCAACTCGGGGATTGAATTACCCGAACTCCTAATAACTCGCGCAGTATTATAAACATTATCAGGACCAACCTCTCTGCTCGCCCCACCTTCTTGATAGTTTATACGGCCACCAAAGTGAACCTTTGAAGAACCATCATCAGACTTGAGGTACTCATCATCAGTAACCCAAGTTCTCCATAACGAATCATTAAAAGGGGTAACTTTCCAACCACCAACATTAACCCTATACATAGTTTCAAACCCATTCTTCAATAATCCATGAATTTGCTCATTTTTATCAAAACTAACATGCTGAGCCACATCAGCAATCAAATCATTAGGAGCAGAAATAACCTCAATCGCATTAACAAACGCAAAATTCGACTTCTCACTCGGCACAAAAGTGATAACAAGCACATCTGAATCAACCCCAATCACATAATCCTTAACTATCTCAAAACCCTTACCCATCTCCACACTTAAACTGTTAAATAACACAAACCCATTTGCCAAGACATGAAATTTAGCATTACTAAAATCAAGACTACCTCTTAATCGACGGAAATGAAGACGTACCAAGTGCATACCAGGGTTCTTGATTACGAACTTGTACTTAGATGGGCGCGTGAAAACACGAGCCGTGTGGTAAATTGGAGAAGATTTAGGACACGGGTTTGGGTCAGCGAGTGAAATCGATTCCGTGGAGGTGAGAAACGACGCCGTTGAGTCGGAAACGTCTCCGGTGAAGCGGCGGTGGTCGAAGTCAACGGTGGTGTGTTCCGGGGACCCACAGTTAATGAGGTAGTGATCGAGAGGAGAAAAGGAAGCTGAAATTAGATTGAAGCAGAGGAGTGCGAAGGAGAAGTAGAGAGCCAAGGTGGAAGAGAGAGTCGCCATTGTGAGATCGAACAGAAACGGAATTGGAGCTCTGGAGAGGTTAAAGATGAAGGTTGATCATGGAGGTGGCTGTAAACGTGTGGGACCATGTTGAGGTTTGGCTGTAAACGTGTGGGTCCAACAAATGAAGACTCGGCCAGACCCTCTAAACCTTAATCAATTGTTTAATAGCCCAAATAAATTATCTATATATTTATTTTTATTTAAATGGTTGGTAAGTTAATAGAAAAATAAGTATTTATATAAAATTAAGGGATAAGAGTCTGAAAAATATCCCAACTTTGGTCGGATTTGTTGTTGCGATACTAAACTTTCATAAGGACCTATTACCTCCCTAGACTATTTAATACCGTATTTTAAACATATATATTTGCCCACGTGGACATAAAAAATAATGCAAAATTATAAA